ATTTTTTTCCACAGGAAGCTGAAATCAATTTGAAAAAAAACCAACAAAACAGTCCAACTTTCTAAAGTGGACTCTCATGGGCTTTCAGTGCACACTGTGTAAATAAAAGATTTGCTTACGGCTCCTGGAAGGGAAAATGTAAATAGAAACCAGCTGCTTCTCTCCACAAGCAGAGGAACACCTGATTTCATTTCCGTCATTGCCGTGCTCCTGTGAACGTGTGGAGGTTCAATACCAGTGGCCGTGGTTCCCAAACTTTACTCCACATTGGAATCACCTCAGGATTGTTTGTAAAAGGAAAAACAAAAAACATGATGCTTGGTCCCTACCCCCAGATGCTCTGACTTAATTGGGATAGGGAAGGAAGGACCTGGACATCGGGATTTTTGAAAGTTCACCAAAGTGATTCTAATGTGCAGCTAAGTCTGAGAACCACGCCTTATTGGACTAAAAGGTGGATTTTACCAAGCTCCACTCAGTTCATTCCAGAGGCTCATTCCAGTTCAAGACTAGGCTCTGACGCTTACCCAGCTGTGTCTCCACAGGCATGTCACCTAACTTCTCTGAGCCCTAGCTCCCTCGTGAGTAAAATGGGAGTAATAATGTTTATTTCCTAGAGCTCTGTGAAGATTAAATGACATATGGATATAGTTTGTTTAGCACATTCGTAGGTGTTTAAAAATGTTTCTGATATAACCATCATTTAAATTCAGAATTCATTAAGTTTCAAGTCTTTCAAATAAAGTTTATTTTTTTGTAAAAAAGAAAAGACTATAAATACCATTTATATTTTTAAAATTGTATTTAGTTTTGATTCCATGCTCACCAAGCAATTTTCTGACTCTAATTTGGCTACTATATAAAGAGCTTTTATCCACTCACCATTCCACTAATATTTATTGAGAGTCAGGCTTTATTCTAGGCATGGGAGTACATCAGCAAACAGGAACTATTTCTAAGGGAGGAAGACAAACAATAAACTTAAATAAATTATATGATATGGTAGAAAGTGATGTGCTTTGGATAAAAATAAAGCAGAAAAGGGAGGGTGATGGGGGTTCTATTAAATTAGAGAAACTTCCTAATTATATTTGTTCTGATCCACAAGATAGTCGTTTTTTTAATGGATTGCAGTCTAGTTGTCTTTAAGCTGCAGGAAACTCACTCTCTGTTAATGTCAATATAGTGAATAAAATTACTTCCCATACATTTCATAAACTCATCATCATTTTTATATAGGTAATTGGTTCCTGAGCAAAAAAGCAACCTAAAAAAATAATGATGAATTCCCTATTTCAAATAGTCCATGTTCAAAATGCCTTTTCTAACTGAATTCATTTGAAATAGACAAGTGTTTTTATGTTACCAAATCCAGTTGACCTTCTCAGCCAACTGGCACTATACAGTGAAAATCTCTATATTCATTGTGCTGTAATTGAATAATATCAGCAAGAGGGGCATGAGTCTTTCACATGCTCTAACGTTCATGAGAACAAGGCACTGAAATCAAGGCTCTCCCTACACAGGCAACTGAAGCAAATAGAGGCTAAAAATTGCAGATCTCTTCTCGTATCCACTGTTTGAACAATAGTTTCTCTGTGTTTCTTTGGGGACCAGATAACATGGAGCCCCAGTGGTGAGGCAGGAGTGGGCTTACAAGACAAGAAAGAAAGATTCTCAGGAAGTCATTTAGGTAAATGCAATAGTGGAAATTGGAATATTGTTAAATCTTTTTCTTTCTTTTTGTTAATCACGTTGTAGTTTTTTAATTTCTACAGCCTAGAACTCAGAGGTCACGTATATTTTAGGTCCTTATAGGTGCCCCACAAGGCATCTGCACTTTTCTTTTTTAATTCTTTAATATTCTTCAATTACAGTTGACATTCAATATTATTTTGTATTAGTTTCAGATGATGTTAGACAACCATATACTTTACAAAGTGTTCCCCCTGATATTTCCAGTACCCACCTGGCACCATAGATAGTTATTGAAATATTATGGACTATATTCCCCTACTGTACTTTACATCCCTATGCATAGTTTGTAACTACCAATCTGTACTTCTCAATCCCTTCCCCTTTTTCACCCAGTCTTCCAAACCCCTCCCCTCTGTCAACCATTAGTCTGTTCTCTGTATCTATGAGTCTATTCTGTTTGGAACATTGTCAGATTTTTTTAATTGAACTTATTGGAGTGACATTGGTTAATGAAATTATATTAGGTTTCAAGTGTACAATTCTACGATACATCATCTGCATATTGTATTGTGTGTCCACCACTCCAAGTCAAGTTTCCTTCCATCACCATTTACCCTCCTGTTTTCCCTCCCTCATCTCCCTTTCCCTCTGGTAATTACCATACTGTTGTCAGTTATGAATTGTTTGGGTTTCTTTTGTTTTGTTTTGTTTTGTTTTGTTTTTGCTTAATCCCTTTACCTTTTTCACTCAGCCCCCCAACCTCCCTCTCCGTATCTCTGAGTCTGTTTCTATTTTGTTTGTTAGTTTATTTTGTTCATTAGATTCCACATATAAGTGTAAATCATATGGTACCTGTCTCTCTCTGACTGGCTTATTTCCCTTAGCATAGTGCTCTCCAGGTCTATCCAAGCTGTTGCAAAAGGTACTATTTCCTTCTTTTTTACAGTGAGTAGTATTCCATTGTGTACATGTACCACCCCAGAGCCACACAACTTAGTCTGTCCCAGATTCTTCCCATTTTTAAGAAGTGTGGAGCCACCAGGAGTTGAGAAGGTGGGGCTTCCAGGAGCCCGGAGAATGGGGTATCTGATCTTCCATGAGGGGAAGGCACCAATCAGGTTCACAGGAAAGTGGGGGGAATGGCCCCTACCCTGAAGCGACATAACTCAGTCACTGACACCCTGAGTCTACCCTGAACTGACTCCTCAGCAGAGTGTGAGCTCTGCAGGGTGCAGACAGGGAGTCCAAGGGTGGGGCTATTGCATTCCCCCAGGCTGATGCCTTGTGGAAGGGAGTGGGGCATCTGGGGTGAGGGACGATGACTCAGCACAGGATCTTGGTGGCTATCCCTTCAGCTCTCTCCCCAGAGTCACAAGCCCCAGTCTCTCCTCACACGATTCTAGTCTGCTCTGCCCTCCCTCTGCCAGAGCCTAGGGTGAGAGTAGCTGTGAACAAGACTTTGTGTGCTGGTCCCTTACAAGGATGCCTGGATTTCTAGTAGACTTCCGTCTCTCCCTGGCAGATGGAGTCCCTGCTGATTGCCATAGCCAGATGTTATGTGGGCACCTCTTCCTGGCATTGTTCCTCTGGGCAGTGAGCCCAGCTTGGGGTGAGACCGCACATTTCTCAGGGGGAACCTTTGCAGCTTAGATATCCCTCCAAGATCTCAGATACTGTCCCATGCAAGTGGGACCGGCCACCAGTCCTTTTCAAGTCTCTGGCCTTTCTACCAGTCTCCATGTGGCCTCTTCTGTAAATCCTTAGTTATAAGACTTCTGTTTAGCTAGTCTTCAGATGGCTATTCAGGTTGATTGCTCTATATTTTAGTTGTAATTCCAGTTTGGGACTGGGAGGAGGTAAGTATAACGTCCACCTACTCCGCCACCATCTTGGATCCTCAGAACATTGTCAAATCTTAAGGCAGTGTTATTGCTCATGGTCTGTAGTCAGATGTAGCCATGTTCAAACCTGGATCTACTACTTACTAGCCATGTGATCTTCAGCATATCACTTTTATCTGTCTATGCCTTCGTTTCTTTGTCTGTAAAATGGGGATGAAATAGGAGTGCCTCGAAAGGTTGTTGTGAAGAATAAAAGAGATAATGCATGTTGGTGCACAATGTACAGCCCCTGTCACATAAAAAGCACTCAGTACAGGTAGTTCAAAAAGTCTGGGTAGTAGACTAGGGATATAGGGCTCAAAAGGGGCTCAGAGTAGGTGGTCACCACACTAAGCCTTGGCATTCATTCCTTTTGCAGAGGCCCTGCACTTTGAAAGCCTTTTTTCTTAGGCCATTGGAACTCTCCAGACCCCCCTGTCTCTTAGTACAGACACTCTGAGCATTAGGGACCTCACTTGCTTAAGGGGATGGTTGATTTCTTTGAGACAAAACAAGGATACATCGGTGATCATGTCTGAATGCAGGTGCAATCTTTCAAAATTGTGCAGGTAACAGACACTTGGCAAGATCAAAACCCAAATTCCAGCTCTGTTATTTCCTGTGTGTCCTCAGCCAAGTCACTCAGCCTCTCTGTGCCTTAGTTTCCTCATCTCTAGGTTGATGATAATACCGATTTGTAGGCAACAAGTCACTTAAACGCAATGCCATCAAACAGCAGGTGATGTGTGGTATTCTCCCGCCACAGTTGAGGCCCATCAGAGAATGGTTTATATCCTGGGGAGTTTTACTAGAATAAATTATAAGGCTCACCATCCAAACCTTGAAATGAGGTTTGGACTGCCCTCTTTACCTGAGTTTCTGCATACTCCCTATCAGAATTGAGCTGAAGACTTGCATAACAGCTTACATAAGCCACACACTTGGGCTTACTTAACATCACTTAGTGATGGATTCTTTTAAATATCTGCCACTCTGATTCAGGTCTTGACCTGACAAGTCTCCTAGGTTTAGAAGAACCATCCGTAACCATAAACAACTCAATCTATGAATTATAAGGACCCACCTATCCAGAAAATTGAATCAAAACTCTGCCAGAACATAACACTATAGTTATTTGTGTAGGGGGAGAATGGCTTCTTGATACTTACCAGCTTGGTCCTGCCTCCTAGAATCTTATCCCCACCCACTCTCCTTGACATCCTGTCCCCCCAACACACACACACACACACACACACACACACACACACACACACGGATGCACACTACCTCATTAGAGATACCACCACACAAGTGCTCGATAATTTCAATATTTTGTCTATGGTTTTTACACGTAGTGTGGTCTTTAAAAAGAGATGCACTGGTATCGCGTGAGGGTTTGATATGATTCTCTTGCCTTTCCAGGGAAAACAGAAGCCTATTTGGAAGCCATCAGAAAAAATATTGAATGGCTGAAGAAACACAACACAAAAGGAAATAAAGAAGGTAAGCCTTTTAGTGTGGTTATAAACTGCAAACTTCACCCATTTGCCAGGGGCTGTTGTTAAATAAACATTCCCACAATCAAATTAGGCTGATGTGTCCTCTCAGAGCCCAGAGAGATTCTAGCACTTCTCGGATGCAGAGGGAACTTCCATTTCTCTTATTTTTTCAAACCAGCCTTTCAAACAAAGGCATTTTCCCCCTTTATTTTATAATGGAAAAAAAGTCAAACAAAAGTAGAGAGAATAATATAATGAATCCCCATGTGTCCATCACCCACTTTGCCAATCTTGTTTTGTCTACTCCCCCTCCTTTCTTGGAGAATTTTTTTTTTAAATATATTTTATTGATTTTTTTACAGAGAGGAAGGGAGAGAGATAGAGAGTTAGAAACATCGATGAGAGAGAAACATCGATCAGCTGCCTCCTGCACATCTCCCACTGGGGATGTGCCCGCAACCCAGGTACATGCCCTCGACCGGAATCGAACCCATCACCCACTTTGCCAATCTTGTTTTGTCTACTCCCCCTCCTTTCTTGGAGAATTTTAAACAGAGGCATTTTCTGAGCACGTGTTAGGTGCACTCGGCAGTCACGAAAGCAGTCACTCACTCACTTAAAACACGAATCTAACTGGGCTCTGTTCTGAGTGCCAGAGATGTGAAGCACAGTAAATGCAGCACACCCGCCCCCAAGTTGCTCACAGCATCAGCAAAGCACAGCTGGCCCTGTGGGTGCCATCACAGACAGGCATGGTGGTGCAAAGGAGGGCGAGAAAGGGGCACAGAGCCAGAGATCACTGGGAGGAAGGGCTGTGAAAAAGTCTCCACTGGAAAGGTAAGCGAGGAGAGATGGAGACAGAAGGAACACTGGGTGCCAAGACATAACGGGACAAACGAGAGTGATGCATTCTGGGAACTGGAGCTATTCAGTTTTTTCAGGAACACTGAGTGTCTATGGGGCGGACCAGCAGACAGGGCTGGGAACGTGGGCAGGTCAGGAACATGCTTGGCCACCTTGCAAAGGAGGCTTGTTTAGCCAGGGGAACCTAAGTTAGGGCTTACTGAAGCCCTGAGAACTCAGTTACTAGTAAGAATTGAGAAATCTATCTGGCATGTAGTGTGGTTACAGATTGAAAAACTAAGATCCCAGAAGACTGGAGAGAGAGCTAGGAGACAAGGATCAAGAGCAGAAATGACGGGGCTTAAACCAGGGCAGGCAGAGGAAATAAAGAAGGGAGAAACCTGAGAGCTATGTCAAGTGAGAGAAGTCCAGTATGATTCCTAGTGTCTAGACAGAGCAGTTGCAAAGTGATGCTTTTAAAATGAGACGAGCGGCGCTTCTCGAACCTTATAGTGCATTCAACACACATGCAGAGCTTCTACATATGCTGATGCCCAGGGGGCACCAGTAAATTAAAAACTTGAGGGGCAGGACCCAGGCATCGATATTTTTTAACCCACCCCCCTCTTTCCACCGTGCAGCCAAGTTGGAGAACTGCTGAGATAGAGCCCAGCAGGAGGAAGGCATGTTTTCAGCCCCTTGTTAGCCCGTGGTATCGTAAGTTGAGCAAGATGGAAACAATTATCAGGTCTTCACACATTTTCATTTTATTTGGCTCAACATAATGTGAATTTCCAGGCTGTCAGTTCCATTAAAATTCACATGAACTGTAATTCATCAAATCTGTCATTGATTTGGGAAATGCACCATTGTGTAATGCACCACGAAGGAAGAAAAAGTATAGCATGCTATCAGTGACTGCAAAGACTTGAAAATAAAAACGTTTCTCTTAGAATCAGTGCAATACCATAGGGGCCAAAGTGCATTCCGAGACCAATGTAAATTACATGGTCCAACAATTTGGACTATTTATGTGATTTCTTTCACTGATGAACATATGAATCAGACTCCTGGTCCTACCCAGCATCATCCTGCAATTCAATCTTTTACTTCAAGAAACAACCAACCTAGTAAAGCATGGACCTCTGGTGCTGGCATATGGAAGGCTCTGTGAGCAAACTCAGAGCCACAGGGTTGAGTTTGACGTTCCCTTCTGCCTGCAGGAGGGGAGGGGACATGCAATACACCCTCCTGCAGGCAGAAGCAGAGAGCTTTTTCTCCACTGCTTCAGGTATGCTCAGCTAGATCATCTCTCAGAGCCTGCGAGGGTCTGGCCCTGGGCCATGTAGGCGCTGCAGCTATGTGAGAGGGAGTCTTGCTACACTATTAGCTCCGACTTCCTTAACTTCTGCTCATGCCCGTTGTTTGGCAGGGACCTGGGGGGCCTGAATCTCCTTTCCAAATCCAGGAGAGAAAGGTCCATGTGATGTGACCGTAGGGATGATGGTAAAATCGAATGCAGCCTTTTTTATAAAAGTGTGCTTTGTAAATCACAGCGCTAGCTCTTTTGTGCATAACAACCTTAAATCCTCTTTTAAGATGAGCGAGGTGGGCACTGACTGTGTACTCTCGCAACCAGCTGCTGGCCTCTCCCCCACACCAGACTGGCTTTCCCGGCACAGGGTGATAGCTATGTCATAAGGATACAGTTCTTCCACTTCAACACGGCGCAGTAGTTTCCCGTCTGCCCATTCAAATCACCTGGACCTCTTCACATCTGTCCTTGGGAGTCTGCCTTTGTCTCACTAAAGATGTTGATCCTGCAACCGAGTCTGAAGAGTATTAATGTGAACCAGTGAGTGAGCTAGGGATCAGCCAGCGAGGCGAGGTGCACACAAAATGTACGGTCAGCTTGGTTCTCTAGTTTGTGCCTGAGAGAAAAGGAAAGTCAAACAACAACAACAAACCCAAGCATGTACTGAACGTTTGTTCTGCACCAATTAGATGCTTTACCTTCAGGATTAAAGACCGCAGAGTGGTCAAAGCAGTGACTACAGACTGACCTGTTTCAGAACCTGACTCTTCCAGGGCCGGACCATGTAACTAACCTCCTCTGTCCTGTTTCTCCGCCTCTGAAATGGAAATACTAATGCTGACCTCATGGAGTTTTGTGAGGAGCGGATCAGATGACAGTTGTAAAGAGCTCAATGCCCAGAGTTCTCTCTGTAACCCTCAAGGCTGTGCCCTAGTGGGGAGCAAATGCTCTCCCTGGTGGAAACAAGCTCTCTCTAAGCCTCTGCTCATCTTGATATGATAAATACCTGGTGCTGGTAGAGAGGTCTTTCAGGCTTAGATTTTGGGCGGGGTTTTTATGGATTTTTTTTTTTCATGCAGGGTCTTAAAGATGCCCAAGGGACCCAAGGTAGCTAAAGGGGCTGTGAGTTTTGTACCCCATTCTCTCCTTTACAAATTGAAAGAAGGCAGGGCTCTGGTCCAGAGCCTGCCAGCTGCCAAGATGAATGGCACTGTCTTCACAATCTGGAGGGGTCTCCCAAGTACTGTATGGTATGGAAGACCGCCATGCCCAACCATGAGGGATGTGTGTCATCAATGTTGGTGACTCCAAAGGATGTATTGCATTTAGCCATTAACAATGGTGTTTCTGAAGAATATTAATGCTCACCGTATAAAGTTAAGTGAAAGGGGATAGTTATAAGTTTGTATATATACTGTGATCTCAATTCTGGGTTGAGATAGATATATTTGAAAGTCTAAAAGGAAATAAAACAAAATACCAACTGTGGTTAGCTATGATTGATAGAATTCAGGTTATTTCAATTTTATTTTCATGATTTTATCTTTTTTTAAAATAAGCATATAATATTTAAAGAATAAAGGAAGACGTGGTTTTCTTTTTAAGTCTTCAGAAAGGTGCCACAGGCAGCCTCCTTGCTTGGGGATCTCTTTGTTGTTGGTGGGTGGCTTGATGGTGTATATAGGTTTTTGTTTGTTCAGAGAAACCATAAAGAGGTTATGGTTTGGCTTTTTGCTCCATGTATACAATTCAAACAAGGTAATTCTTGTTTTATCAAGGTAATTCTTAATTTGGAATAAAAATGGAAAAGTCGGTTGTCACCTCAACAGGGACTAACCAGTGTAACAAGTTCAAAAAGTCAAAACACCTGGTTCTGATTGTAACTTTTACTACCTGTATGATCTTGAACTCAAGCTTGAGGATCTTCTTACCCCAACTGTGAGTCCTAAACTAACAAAATCAGCACATCCTAGCAGCTTGTTCAAAATGCAGAGTCTGCTCCCAGACAGGAAAAGCTAAAGGTGATCACTTCATAAGTTATATGAAGGAGTTCGTCACCACCGAATCAGCACTTCAAGAAATGTTAAAGGGACTTCCTTAAGAAGAAGAAGAAAAAAGATAAAATGTGAACAATAAAATGTCCATAACTACACACCTATCATTAATTACTTAAAATGTAAATGGATTAAATGCTCCAATCAAAAGACATAGGGTGGCTGAATGGAGAAGAAAACAAGACCCTTACATATGCTGCCTACAAGTGACTCTCTTCAGATTGAAAGACACAGAGACTAAAAGTAAAGGGATGGAAAAAGATACTTCATGCAAATAGAAATGAAAAAAAAAGGCTGGGGTAGCAATACTTATATCAGACTATCAGACAAAATACATTTTAAAACAAAGGCTATACTAAGAGACAAAGAAGGACATTTCATATACAATAGCCAAAAAATGAAAACAATCTAAGTGTCCATCAATAGACAATTGGATAAAGAAAAGGTGGTACATATATATACATATATGCAATGAAATATTACTCGGCCTAAAAAAAAGAATGAAATCTTATCTTTTGCACCAATATGGATGGACCTAGAAATTATTATGTTAAGTGAACTAGGTCAGACAGTGAAAGACAAATACTATATTATTTCACCAAAACCAAAAAAAAGAACAACAATCAAAATAAATAAACTTGTAAATACACAGAACAAATGGATGGTTGCCAGATGGAAGGGTGTTAGGTGGCTGGATGAAAAAGGTGAGGGAATTAAAAAGTACGAATTGGCAGTTTCAAAATAGTCACTGGGATGTACAGCTTAGGGAATATAGTCAATAACATTGTAATAACTATGTATGGTGCTGAGTGGATACTAGACTTTATCAGGGTTGATCACTTCATAAGTTATATTAATGCCTAATCACTATGCTGGACATCTGAAACTAATACAATATTGAATGTCAACTGTAATTGAAAATTTTTAAAAATTAAATTTTAAAAAAAAGCAGAATCTGGGGCCCCACCTTAGAGCAACTGAATGCAAATCTGCAACTTCCCAGGAGCCCCAGGTGATTGGTACAAACAGTCAGGGTGTGAAGCACTGGCCTCCAAGCCCGTTCACTCTGTGGTCAGATGAGTGTGGTACTCCCGACCTGATCACCCAGTAGGTGTGATGCTGGAGAGCAGATGAGCTAATACATACACATGGTTTTAAACTGCAAACCTCTGCACAAATGCCAAGACCTAAAATGCCTTCCGATGTGAAAGACAGGGATGGTTGTGGTGGTGGTATACAAAACGAGTCTCGGTTAATGGTGATTACTATAATGGGATTGCTCTTTCCATGATATTTTCCAGATTATGACCTTTCGAAGATGAAGGACTTCATCAACCAACAAACGGAAGCTTATGTGGAGAAAGGCATCCTTGATAAAGAAGAAGCTGATGCCATCAAGCGTATTTACAGCAGCCTGTAAAAATGGCAAAATGGCCCAGGAGTCTTTCCACTGTTTCAGAAGACATAATATAGCTTAAAACTCTCCTAATTTTGTGATTAAAGTCATTTTGACCCAAGGAGTGTTAGAAAGTGCTGGATTTATAGTAGATAACCTTTTAGAAGTGGTTAAGACATAGCTTTCTTGCCATAAAAACTATCTGAAAAGTAACGTTGTAAGCTGAGATTTTGTATATAGAATCCTCACTTCCTTGTGGATTTACATTTTATAATCAGAGATGGGTTGCTTTGGAGAAGCCTGTAATGGACTGACCTTAAAACTGAACCTTTTTCCTACTGTGTCACACATGTAAGCACCCCCTGAAGAAGTGGGGGTTCTGTTTCAAGGCATGCTGGTTACCAAAGCACCTCATAGCATATCTGTTACAAAATGTCCTTTTCACTACCAGTTCCCTTTTGGTTGAAATAAATTCACATTCCCTCAAAGCCTCTATAGCTTGAAGGAAGCTACCTGCTTTTTTTCTTTTATTTTTTAATAGGTAACTTTCTCTTATTTTAAATATGTTTTCATTGATTTGAAAGAGGGAGGAAGGAAAAGGGAGAGAAAGAAACATCAATGAAAGAGAAACATCAACATCGATGGATTGATCAGCTGCCTCCTGCATGCCCCCTACTGGGGATCAAGCCCAAAACCCAGGCATGTGCCCTGACCAGGAATCGAACTGGCAACCTCCTGGTGCATGGGTCAACACTCAACTTCTGAGCTACACTAGCCAGGCTGCCTTTTTTTTTCTTACGGCTCTTCCCGCTGGTTCTGTATCAAACCAAATAGCATTAAAAGGAACCTGAAAAATGGGCATAGGATTTTCTGGATTTATTAACCATTTCCCCCACACTTAATATTTTCTATTAGTGAGTTTTAAGACATTGATTTTGTTTATTATGAGGGATAACTATAGCTCTAGTTGGTTTGGCTCAGTGGATAGGGCATTGGCCTATGGACTGAAGGGTCCCGGGTTCGATTCCAGTCAAGGGCACATGCCCGGGTTGCAGGCTCAATCCTTAGTAGGGGGCATGCAGGAGGCAGCCAATCAATGATTCTCTCTCATCGTTGATGTTTCTATCTCTCCCGTTCCCTTCCTCTCTGCAATCAGTAAAAAAAATAATAATTTGAAAAAATTTTTAAGAGAGATAACTATGTACTCTCCAGACAGAAAATGAGGTCATAAACACTACATAAAGTGAGGTAAAAATGTATGCCAGCTCTGAGTTTTCTAAACTGGATTTGATCCAAGCCAGGATTTCTCAGCAGAGAGCAAGAGGGCCAGACGGCGGGGTAGAAACAGAGATAAAAATCACTTCCTTCCATGTGAACCATAGCTGGTTAGCTGAGGTTCCCTGGAGGAAAACAATATCAAACCTCTGGTCCCTGCAAATCCTCTTCCTCAGCCACCACCACAACTCGCCCAGGGTCCTCCTGAAATGTTAGTGGAGAATGTTCCCAAAGCAAAGAATGCTTTGAAAATGGGTTATGCGGCATAAATTACATATTTTTCTGTATATTTCAGTTGAAAATCATAAAAATCACATAATGCTTTGTGTAATAGCTGCCATTACTTTAAAAGGCCGTCTGATACTGGTCTTAAATGCCCCTCCTTCGCATCTACTTTTTGGTAAGGACTGGGAACTTACAGGGAAAATGGAAGAGGCTGTTTTCAGGGTAGGAGACCCCTGCTGCTCCTCCCATCCTCTGCAAAAATAAAGAAAAACCAAAGTCTGGCATGCCAAAAAACCTCAACTCTTTACGTAATCTATTCTAACTCTTTACTTACCAATACTCATTGGTAAGTGGTGAGAGGAAACTAAAAACACCTTTGCGCAAACTACACTTGCCAAAGCATGATGAATCAGACTTGTTTTAATGTCATCCTTGGTAACGTGACTGACTCTACTTCCCCCATGTCCTGTAGTCCAAATGGGCTGCTTCTACATCAGAGAGAAAAAACTTGCTGTGATGAAAGCATTTTACCTATTTGCTTTTCTGTAACTCATCTAAATAGCTGCAGTATTTTTAAAAATAAGAAATTCGTGAGTTTATTGTAACTTTCTGAGCCCACAGACATTCATTAGCTCCTATTGATACCCAAGACAAAAGGGAGATCTTCAGTCCTGTTTTCTAGGTAAGAAAACTGGTTTGCAAAACATAAACATGGGCACAAGATATGCTCAAACTCATATGGCCAAGGAGTGGTAAAGCTGAACCTAGAACCCAGGTTTCTTATCTCAGTCCATTCTTCCAGTGATTCCCCGTGCAGGCAAGGACTAAACAACGCCCGTCCAGGGCAGTTTTACTGCAGCCACAATTCAAAGTTTTTAATAACTTGGAAAAGGAGAGAGATGTTTTGGCTAGAAATTGCTAAGAGAGACCCTTACACAAAAATAAAATACTCAGAAAACTGTTTTTGAGATTGTGGTCTTAATTTCAATTTTCAGCTTATGTTATATCCTTTAGATAATGTTTTTGGATTTATGCATTTTGGGTTACTCTCATATTTCAGATAAGTTTATGTTGAACAGCATGATAACTTTACATTTTTTAAGTTCCTGGGCCTCCATAGAGGCCAGAGCTTTGACTTATATACACAGCTGTTTTCCTTCATTTATTCTTTTAGTTTTCTCCTCTTCCAACTAACTCCATATCATTCAGGTAATAGGATACAAGAAAACAGCAAAGCATGATCAAGAGATCACCCTCTATTATAGATGATAATAACATGAGAAAAAAAAACAAGAAATAAAAACGAGATGTTATCATTTTTAAAAATGAGGGGGAAAATGAGATTAAAAAAAACAAAACACCAAAATACACCCGGCAGGTGTGGCTCAGTTGGTTTAGCATCATCCCAGACACCAAGAGGTCACTGGTTCAATTCCCAGTCAGGGCACATGCCCAGGCTGCAGGCTCAGTCCCCAGGTGGGGGTGCGTGCAGGAGGCAGCTGATCAATGTTTCTTTCTCGTGAATGTTTCTATCTCTCTCTCCCTCTCCCTTCTCTCTCTAAAAAAAAATAAAATAAAATAACAATAAACACACAAGGGATTATGTACATTGTGAACAAACAAGAAAATCAAGACAAGGACAAACAGCTACCATTTCCCATTCATGCCTCACAGGTTGGACACGTGCAACTCTGGTTCGGTGAGCTCTGATGCATTGGCACCTAAGGGCACAGTTTCGTGCTTAATGGAAGGAAGACCTAGAGGAGCAAGATGGAGAAGAAAGGAAAGAGAAAAGGGGAAAGATAACAAATAAAGGTCCTTTTTGTCCCTCAAAAAGCAGATCCCTTTTGGGATGTTGGGAAGGAATAAATATGAGGAATTTTGTGAAAGCTTAAAGATTTATTTAACCCAGCATTTGAATAGAAATTGAGACGAAAACATATTTAACTGTAAAGAATGTATTGCTTAAGGTTTCCTGCTGTAATCTATACGTATAATAAAAGTAAAACAATTGAAATTATAAAAACCGAACCCTTCATTCAGTGACTACAAAACACTCTATAAAGTGACTAATCAATGAAATTTAAACTAAAAGTCATCAATGTGTCAGGCCATGGTATTGCTTTTTTCTTCTATTGATCATATTCCATGTTCTCACTATATGTGAAACACATTAAGTCAAATATTATGAGAGTGCATAGGTTACTAGTAACTGCAATTGATTTGCTTTTAGATTACTGAAACTTTTCAAAATTGCAATTAAAATAATAAAAAACCATAAAAGTAGAGGAAAAGCTATCACTATTTCAAAAATATAACTTAAAATAAAACTTTTCTCATTTGTTAAAAAAATTGGAGACTCAAATGTAAAAACATAGTTTATTTTTTCAGACTTTGGTAGCTTACTTGTACAAAATAGCAGACAAAATTTGGTTCTCTATATTAATACAGAATATGTAATACATATTGAAATATATATATATAGCACTTAATTATAAACACATAGCAATGTCCGCATCACTCAAACAGCAACCATGTTTTTCACATAATTAGGAATTCTCAAGAGATAAACCAATGTTTTTAGCTTGACTATGTAAGTAGTTTTTGATGCTTTATGTCAACTAGTATTTACAAAAGCAAGTTTAAAAACTACCAGCACCTACAAAAGTGATGAGCTTTTGTTATCATGCCATAATGCAGACTTAAAATTATAGAAAGCCAGAGGGAACCAATCACTTCAGTGCAACTGCAATGGAACTACTTAATTGTGATTTAAAGATGTACACTCTGAGAATCCAAAAGAGGTGCTTTTGAATCTTCAGTTGTTGGTTTCCTTATGATTCAATTATCTCTTAACCCAGGTGCAATAGCATCATCTAGCTATGATAGAGTGAAGTTGCGTAGGGATTGTCTTCATCTCTGGAAAGAAAAAAAAAAGGAATATAGCATAAACTAGTGTTTAAAAACTGTATTCAGAAAACTAACACATATATTTATCATACGACTTAATATCCACTTGACAAAGAAGTGCAGGTGTTATCAAATTATAATATTGTTCATGCATTAAAAGTTGTATGAAATACAAATACTCATTGAGGTGTACCTTACTGATTCCATTTTATTGGAGTCTCAGTTATTGGAAAAAATAATAGTACTTGCTATATATTTACATTTATTTATATTATATTACATTTGCATAAAGTAATAAAATTTATATTAAATTATAAATTAATTATATTCTCATTTATATCTGTTTATATTTTAATATTTCACTTCTTTCTCAAAAGGATTTGAAATGCCTATGACAAAGGGGATAAATATAATAAGATGAATAAAATAGAAATAAAAAATCAGGACTAAAGAAAAGATGGCTACAAATATATTAACCATAAGAAATATTATAGTGGTTGAACTGAGCATCAATTTCAGTTGCAACCTTTCTGATAAGGGTAAAGAGGAAAGGTTGTCTTCTTGGAATCAGGAAGGAAGAAGGAAACTAATTCTACAGGAGAGAGAAAGGTTTGCCGTAGTACCAAATTAAAAAGCAAAGAAGAAAACTCACACGAGCAATGTAAGAAACATCTGAAAGCAAACAATGGACAATGTCTTTGACAAATTTTATAAGGATCAGTATTTTACAAAGTATTCTCTAGGGTACTGCTTCCTTTGGAGATGTCAACTACATGTGTCCACTTGGCTGCTGCCCAGAATTCCTAGCTGGACAAGTTATGCTACTAAGCAAAGAAGCAAACCTACACTAATAAAAAAGAAAGATGCAAATTAACCATCACTCCACCACTCCACTCCACCCACAAGCTACGCCCACCAGCCAATCAGGAGCAAGTATGCAAATTAACCCAACTAAGATGGCGGTGGCCACAGAACTGGAGCAAGCAGGAGTCTTGGGCTGCCCCCGGCGATGGAGGAAGCCAAGCTTCCTGCCTGCCCTGGCCGGCCCTGGGCTCCGCTCAAGGCTACAAAGTTTCAATTATAGAAGATAAATAAATCCCAGATACCTGCTTCCAGCCCGCCATGGCCTCCGCTCAAGGAGGCACTGGAAAAAAAAAAAAAAGAAGAAAAAAAGGAGAGGCTGGGAGCTTGGGTCACCAGGGGGCGTGGCCAGACTGAAAATGGCCATCAGCCCCTCACCCAGGCTGGCCAGGCACCCCAGCAGGATCCCCCCCACCCTGAAGGGGCTGTGGGCAGCCTGCAAACAACCATCAGCCTCTCACCCAGGCTGGCCAGGAACCCCAATGGGACCACCACCCTGATCCGGAACACCCTTCAGGGCAAACTAGCCGGCCCCCACCCGTGCACCAGGCCTCTATCCTATATAATACAAGGGTAATACGCAAATTGACCCTAACAGCAGAAAGACTGGGAATGACTGGTCACTATGACACACACTGATCACCAGGGGGCAGATGCTCAATGCAGGAACTGCCCCATGGTGGTTAGTGCGCTCCCATAGGGGGAGCTCTGCTCAGCCACAAGCCAGGCTGACAGCTGCCAGTACAGCAGTGGTGGTGGGAGCCTCTCTCGCCTCTTCAGCAGCGCTAAGGATGTCCGACTGCAGCTTAGGCCTGCTCCCCGCTGGCAAGTGGACATCCCCCAAGGGCTCCCGGGCTGCCAGAGGGATGTCTGACTGCTAGCTTAGGCCCAATCCCCCAGAAAGCGGGCCTAAGCCAGCAGGTGGACATTCCCCAAGGGGTCCCAGACTGCGAGAGGGCACAGGCCGGGCTGAGGGACCCCCCCTCCAGTGCACACAGTGCACAAAGGCTCCTCCTGGACTGCGAGAGGGCAGTCCCCATGCATGAATTTCGTGCACTGGGCCTCTAGTTTTTATAATAACTCACAGAGACAAAGCATTACAACAGATCAAGCCTTATACAGAATACAATGACTCTGTTTATCTTTCATATATTAAAAATGCCTTTCTGGAATTAAAACATAGATTTTTAAAGCAAAAAAATAAAAATTTACCAAGTGTAAACATCTTAAGAGTAATTTATTCAGTCTCTGACATTTTACCAGCATATTTTTACCTGCTCTCTTCTTTTAGTTTCCTGGCTGCCTGTGTTGATAACTTAATCTGCAAGTCGAGTCTCTGCAGGAAATCTCTGGCTGACACTTCCTCGGGCGGCACTGGCTGAACAGGAGATGCCAGAGGACTGGGAGAAGATGGGTCTTCCACAACTGCTACCAGCCCTTCTTCATGAGAAAAAAGGCCATGGACAGTTTCACTTTCTGGAGAATCAATTGAGTTAAGTCCAAACAGCAAGGCTTCTCTGAAATAACTGGGATGTTCAAAGTTTCTCAGAAATATGCAATCATTGGTAAACAGTTTATTTGCCCTTTTAATCTGTTCCATCTAAAATATAAAAAAGGAAACACAGAGTTACATATGAATAAACCCAGAAATATGGCTTATTATGCAACACAGAACTAAAGATATCCATAAAATAAAAATAAAATTTAAAAAGTAAAATAGCCCTAGCTGGTTTGGCTCAGTGGATAGAGCATCAGCCTGTGGACTGAAGGGTCCTGGGTTCGATTCCAGTCAAGGGCACATGCGTGAGTTGTGGGCTCAATCCCCAGTAGGGGGTGTGCAGGAGGCAGCCGATCAATGATTCCCTCTCATCATTGATGTTTCTATCTCCCTCTCCCTTCCTCTCTGAAATTAATAAAAATGTTTTTTAAAAAAGTAAAACAAAAGTATCCATGAGCAAAATGTGTACAATGCTTTATCTGGGCTTGAGACTCTTAATTCTGGCTTTGCGACCTCCCCAGATACCTGCAGTTATTTCAAGAGATGTCAGGAAATTCTGTCTCTCAATTTTAAAGCTGAAAAGACTAATTTCCCCCCACTATATGAATTGCCCTACAAGGCAGCTTTTACCAAGCAGTTTTAAATCCCTGAAGTTAAAAAATACAGAATTTTCAGGACTTATTTAATAAATTCCATTCTTATTTTAACATTTCTATTATCTGATTTTTTATGATCTACTAGAGACCTGGTGCACAACATTTGTGCACGGGTGGGTCCCTCAGCCCGGCCTGCGCTCTCTTACAGTCCAAGACCCCTCAGGGGATGTCTGACTGCCAGGTTAGGCCCGCTCCCTGAGGGGTCCATAGCCCTGCCATGGAGGCGGGAGAGGTTCCTGCCACCACCTTTTTACTCACCAGCCGTGAGCCCGGCTTCTGGCTGAGCAGCACTCCCCCTGTGGGAGCACATTGACCACCAGGGGGCAGCTCCTGCATTGAGCGTCTGCCCCTGGTGGTCAGTGCACATCAT